AAGAATGATTGCATCGTTCACACATAATCACAAATATCTCTTTTTTTGTCTTAAATGCTGAGTGAAGAGCATTCACAATCTGGCTTTTTCATGAAGTCTTTGTTGTTTTTTTTCATTGTGCTAGGCTTGGATAATTAATTTGTAAATATGATATGCCAACCTACTAGAGAGTTTTCTTCACTTGGATGTTAAGGTGTTCTTTTACTGGGTGAAAAGTTTTCAACAATCATCCAACGCTGTTGTCTTCTGCTGCCTTTTTGTGTTGCTTAGCTCATCATTTCATTCTTTTGTTTTATTTATGTGAGATAGACTAAAGCCCCCTGTAACGCTGAATGTGTCTGCATGTCTGCCCGTGTGTAAATATTGGCTGACTTAAGTGTATTTTACTCCATCTTCCTCTCTTCTCCTGTGCCTGTAGAGATTCCTGAATATGACTGATGAGCTCTTGTCCAGTGCATTTCTTAATTATAAAAGGAAAGTTTCAGACTTTCTTGACTTGGTGGGAAATGCTCTGAGACTCATAGGATCCTTCACTAATTCTTCAAGGATTTATATCTCCTCAACTCAGACAGGTTAAATATAAATTCGAAGAAAATAAATCAATTCAATTTTAGATGATTTTTTGTTGATACAATTTTAGGAAACCAGCAATGCATGTTCAGAAAAGTCTGTCTGGTTTCAGAGCTGGACATGTTTGTACACAAGGGGCCTGATATACCTAAAGGAAACATAACATTATCAACTAAGCATGCTAACTTGGACATCCAGATGGAGATAGCTGCTGGAGATCCTGCCTATTACCCCGGTAATCATATGCCGACAAATACTGCATTTCTAACCAATTTCATCAAATTATGAGCCCCTCTAATGATGCTCTCCTTTCATTCTTACAGGCTTTACAACAGTGTCCTTGATGAGCTATTCAAACCTGGAAAACTCTACAGATGGCTTCTTTAATGGAATGAAACCACAAGAGAACCAGAGCTTTAAGATAAACTCCAAAGTGGCGACTGTCACTGTCAGCAACAGAAATACAAGCCACCTTAAAACGCCAGTTAGCCTAACTTTAAACCACCTAGAAGAACAGGTAGAGGTTATCTCTTATTTGTTGTTTCAGATTGTGGTGATCACTTTTGCCCAAAAAAACCCACATATATTTGTTTTATAGACAAATCAAACATTCCACATCTGTGTGTTTTGGGATTCCTCGGTGAATGGGGGATCATGGTCTGATCGTGGTTGCGGTGTGGCGGAGTCAAACCTGGAATATACTTCCTGTTCCTGTAACCACCTGGGAACCTTTGCTATACTCACGGCTCACAATGAAATTAAGGTTTAAACGAATTAATCGCAACATTTAAACTTCAGACTATTTAGTAGTTAAACCTTTAATCCACTTTCATGTACTTTCATTTATTTTCCCAACAGGAGAAGTTTGAGTTTCATCTGATCATATGGGTGTTCCTGTCCCTTTCACTGATTTGCTTATTCATTTCCATCTTGACATTCTCAATGATCCACTCTATTAAAAGTCTAAGAACCACCATCCACCTGCATCTCTGCATCAGCCTCTTCATTGCAAACCTTGCCTTTCTAGCAGGAATCTCTCATTTTGAGAACCAGGTAAATACTAACTGTGTTTGCTGCTCAGATGAATGCAGATCCAGAATTTTTTACTTAACTTGAATTGTGATGTAAAGGGACAAAATGAGGAAAAGAACAGAAGTTTAGTAAGTCTAGTTCGGCAATATCTCATCTCTTCCCCATTAGGATAGCTGCACAGTGGTGACAGGGATCCTGCATTTCTCCTATCTGGCAACCTTTTTATGGATTTGTCTGGACAGTGTACAGCTGTTCAGGATGATAATGCTTGTTTCGAATACCAACTTTAAAACCCTCCACATGATGGCAGCTGCCTATGGAGTTCCAGCTGTTATTGTTGCCATCTCAACCTTAGCTAATTCCATGGGACATGGCACTGAGAGATAGTAAGTTTCCTCTATTCCTAAAATTATATGATCAATTTATCCTCGAATCTCTATTTATCTTAACTTTTAACTTTCATTTCAGTTGTTGGGTAACCCAGGGATTTATTTGGAATTACTTTGGCCCTGCATGTGTAATCATCATTGTAAGTAAAGTTGAAATCAATTTAGGGAAATGGTTATAGAGTAAAATGATGTGTAAAAAAAAAAGATGATTTAAACATAAATGTTGTTTTTGTTGTTCATTTGTTTTTGCTTTTTCAGGTAAACATTTTCTTCTTTTTCATAACTGTATGGAAGTTAGCACAGAAGTTCTCAAGTGTAAACCCTGACCTGGATGACCTGCACAAAATAGAGTAAGTTACCCATAAGCTGCGCATAGAAATCACTATCATGATCCTGTTGAGTTTTGGTTGTGCTGTTTAGATTATTTCTTACGTTGCTTTAGAATTTTTTATCTAGGTTTTGGATTTTTGTTTTGGGATTGGTCCGTAGCCAACAAAGGCTGATTTTTCAATCGGTCATTCATTTTCTTGCATGCAACATGTTTTCTGCAGGGCATTCACCATTAGTGCCGTGGCTCAGCTATTTGTATTGGGCAACACCTGGATCTTTGGTTCTTTCCAGTTTCAAGAAAACCATACAGCCATGGCTTACCTCACCATCTTTGGCAGCCTGGAAGGAGTTACGCTCTTTGCCGTGTATTGTCTGTTTTCCAGGCAGGTTAGTAATATTCATGCTTAACTAAATAAGAAGTTCTTGCCTGTCGGTAAAATTTCATTTATATCCTCATTTTAGGTGAGGGAAGAGTACAAACACGCCTTGACCAGAATGTGTGCTCCTCGGAAGAAGAGTGACAGAAAAGCTCGTGTAAGCAGTTATTTACAGAAATTGATGGCACAGATTAACATTCGATCGGCAGCGGTACTGCCGCAAACTATTCCTGAAGTTTCATTTTGAACACCTTCGAAATTTGACCATTTTGTTTGTTTGATAAGCTGTTCTGAAGGACACAAGATGTGAAGTGAATAAGATCCTTTGGTTGTAATGAAAGACATTTTTGATCATTTTTTGAATATGAATATTCTTCATTTTGTCATCATCAGGTTTCGAAGAGTGCCCAGGATACAAGAGAATGTCAACTTTGAGGAGATAGAAAGTAATATATATATATATATATAAATGTGTGTGCATATACATTTATATCACCTGCCAGATAAAAACTGCTGACATGTATATTTCAATTTTTGTACTTGTCAAAGGAATATTGTTTTTATATAATGTGATCAGCTTCATGAAATGTATTCTTTTATTGATCACTAAGCAAATGTCTACGTGACTTTTGACATGTACTTTTGTGTGATAAACAACTAATAGCTTCCTCTTTGTGTAAGAACATACAGAATTAGAAAAAGGGGAACCTCAGCTCAGAGTTCTTAGAATAAGAAGCTATTTGCATACACACACACACACACAGACATACAGACAAGTATAAATAAAGAACGCAGACAGTGATGAGACGCAGGTCGCAGGTCGTGCGTCCATGACTGCCCTCGCAAGTAAAGACAACTGCAGTGTTTGTGTTTTCTAACTCAGGTGTCTTAGCTGAAGAACTACGGGGTGATTTAAAGAAATCCCCTGTCAGTATTGGACAAATATCTCTTAAGCAATCTTATAAAAGTGGAGGGATGATGACTTTGTATACTTGCTGATATCTGTAGAATTCCCCATGTCATTTCTGAAGCGGAAATTTCCGAAGAAGTCAAAAAGGTTTTTGTACCAGGCTGTAAATATGCTTTTTAATGCTATAAAATTTGCCTTTTTAACATGCAGACTGACTCCCCTTTTGGAACCAACTTCTTGTGTCATCTAGAGAAACTGCAATAGTTGCAATTTCTGCTTTGACTTCATTTTCGAGCAGCCGAGGTTTACCCTAACCTCGGTCATATTTACCATCACCCTGTTGTTGGTTAAACTAATCATCTTTTGGGGGTTTTTTGCTGAATTTATATTCAGTTAACTGTTGGTTCTGTAATGTTGTTATGTTACCTACCACTAGTTGGGGCTCCCACTCCCTTCTCTGTACAGGGAAAATATAGGGTGCAGCACTTGAGAAGTTCTATGTATGCTTTCAGAGTAAATTGAAATATAACCACTCAGCAGAAACTACATGTCACATGCGGATGCTAGCCCACCAGAAAGGAAGGCTGATGGTGTTTGCAGATAAGACTACTAACAGTAACTTCACTCAGGAAACACATCTGGCATCCTGTGTTTGAGATATTATGAACAGTGAAGGTTGAACAGGTTGACCAGGTTCATTTTTTTTGTGTGTAATACAGTTGCAAAGAGCATTTATAATGTACAAATTAAGAAATATGAATAATTAGGTATCCTCGTTTTGAATGAGAGCTTTTATGATTTGTTTATATTACATTTTGACACCAATATATAATTTATGTAATATCTATCTATATCTATAGATGCAAATATATAGACATGTATAATCTGTAATATGCTTTTTTGAAATAACACTGAATAAATGAAATCTGTGTTTGCAACAAACTTTTTCTTTTCTGTGTTTAAGGTGATGGCTTAAGATTTTTTTCTCAGCTCTTCTTAAATGTCTTCTTTCTGCTCATCTAGACATTAACAAATTTCAAAAAGGAAATCTCTGTGTTCACAATGCATCATGTATCCACACACAAGGCAGTTATTACTGTTTCTGCAACACTGGCTTCAGACTAAAATCTGGCTGATTTAACTTGTCTGGGAATCTGGAACAATGAGAAGGTGAGCGCTAAGTATGACATAATGCAGCAAAATTTTTATCGTCTCTAGGCATTGTTATATAACAATATAATTAGATTTGTAATATTTAGAAAATTACTATAGGGGTTGATTACATTAAATTGTAGAAGCTTAATTTTCAGACAGCTGCATAGGTCAGAAAGAAAAGCATGCACAAACTTGGAAGAGTTGGCCAGATTTGTAGTGAAATGGCTGGCAATGGACAGATGCAACGGTATTGATGATTACACCCTTGTTCAATAAAGAGGATGTATGTTGTATCACAAAACACAATAAGACAGCTCATCAATTTGTTCATCTACACGGGGCATTTTGTAGAGGGTAGCAGGTGTGGCAGTTTGTCTTGAAACAACAAATGTAATCTCCACATTATGATGTTTTTCTCAAAATAGAATTATTACTTTAATCTCTTTTTTTTTTTTACTTTAATCTCAAAACCCATCCATCCATTCTTTTCCACTTAATGATCAATAATATTTTTGTTCTTAATAATGCCCATTTCCACTGCAGAAATGGAACCATTTTGAGTCAGTGAGAATACAAAAAAACTGAACTGCCCTTGTGAATTATCTCAAATAAATCTCTCAGGAGCTCAGAGACAGTAAAAAATCAGTGGACCTGAATGAAGAGGACATTCTTTGTAGGCTAGAGTCTGGTGACCCTATGGATGGATGTGGGAAACTGTTCGTGTTGCGCTGGCTAATTTCTTTCTGATTAATTTTTTATGACTTTAATTAATAAATTAATAAATAGACAAAGGGCATTAGTAAAGGTGACTGGGTAGAAAAATAGGAATAATTATAATAATGTTTTAATTTGTTCATTTATTTATTTGTTGAGTCGCTTGAATTAAAGCTGAGTTTCATTAGCTTAGCTTTAACTTGTTGCATTCTCATCTATTGAGAAACAGAAATAAATTATTTAAAATTGTGTCATGGGCTAAATATTTTCTGACTTTAACTGTATTTCACTCCATCTCCTTCTCTTCTCCTGTGCCTGTAGAGATTACTGAATTTGACTGATGACCTCTTGCCCAGAGCAGTCCTCAATTCTAAAAGGAAAGTTTCACATGTTCTGGTCTTAGTGGGAAATGCTCTGAGATTCATAGGGCACTTAACTACCACTTCAGAGATTAATATATTTTCTACTCATAAACATTAAATAGAGGTAAATCAGTTGAATTTTTTGACCATTCGTTAAGTAGAATTCAACCTTTAACTTATATTTTATACAGTATTAGCAAAAAAGCAACGCATGCTCAGAAAAGTCTGTCTGGTTTCAGAGGCGGACCTGCTTGTACATAAGGGGCCTGTTATATCCAAAGGAAGCACAGCTTTATCAACTAAGCATGCTAATTTGGACATCCAGATGGAGATAGCTGCTGGAGATCCTGCCTTTTACCCTGGTAATCACATGCCAACATGTAATGCATTTCTAACCAATCTTGTCAGATTGTAACCCACTCCAGTCACATTGTGCTTTTATTGCTACAGGCTTTACAGCAGTGTCATTGATGAGCTACAGATACTTTCTTTGATGGGATGAAATCACAAAAGATAAACTGCATATATAACATTTTTTAGGCCAAAAAAAATGATGGTTTCTTTAAAAAGAATGTGGAACACAAAAACTGTCAAACTTGATTGCTTGTGAAGAAATAATATCATTTTTAATTTGGTGCCAAGAACACATTGGCACAAAAAATTGTGAGAGGGGGAAGAAAAGACTAAAAAACATTATATAAAGATAAAAAGTATTACAGCAGTTCTTCCCTTCAATGTCCTAACACTTACACTTACAGTGCTTTTAAAAGAATCCTTGATGCAACACAGAGAATATTCAATTTTCAAAACGTTTATTTCACATCGTGTGTGTTTGTGTCTGCATGTGTTGCGTTTTACACAGCACTCCAACTTTCTTGGTAACATGACTTTACATATAACACAAAGCTTGTTACATTAATTTCCTTTCAATTTCATTTCTGTTTATTTATTTTTCAAAAGAAGCTTGAAGAGATTAAACAGATAAAGCAGATCTCCACACAGGGTAACATAATAATGCTTTTTGTGTCATCCAGAAGCACCTTCTGACATGTCTTTAAATTAGACAAAATTGTATTTTAATGTTTTTCTGTTTTACATTTTCAGAAGCTTTAAACTGAATACATATTCTCTGTAATATTTTAGGCCTTTGTGTATTGACATTTCCGACTTCATTCATTTTATTTTATCTGGAAAATAAAAACAGTGGAAGGATAAAGAGATCTATTTTTTCTTTAGTCGTTTAGCAGAAATAAAATAATGTAAATATGAGCCAACACGGTTAAACAGCTCACAGAAAATAACTTCCATTCCATGAGATTCAATGACATTTTTCATCTTTCCCCTTATGTTTCTTAGATCTGAGGGTTCAACTTCAAAGACTTATACTCAGAGAGGAAATGGGAGACTGTCTCCACTTCCTTCCTGTTTACGTAAGATCACAGATAACAACTCTGAACAACTCTGAAGTCTACACATAGGTTTACGAATAATGCTGTTTAAGTTATCATTGCAAATTCCTTGTTTAGAAAATGTTTAAACACATGTCTAAAATACTTTTTCAATAATATAATTTTTAATATGTGAGATACCTGTTAGGATGTTGTTTAGCATGTGATGGTGCATCTAAGTATCTAATTATCATCTACTCTTTCAAACTCTTTTGATGATTTTTGTCTGGTGTATACATGCTGGAGGACTTAGTGAGGACTAACTCTGGTTATATTTTAACATTTGGGCTGACACACATTTTTTGAGCTCTACTCTGTTCCAAATGAGTATCTCTTACGAGTACATTAGAGGACATGTTCAGACGGGGAAGAATAGTATGCAGAGAAACCTGCCTGCAGATAGAGAAAGAGAAAGGTAGACCAGGCAGGAAGAGGATCTTTCAGAGGACAAGAAAAAAAATTAGGGGAGGGGAATGAAAGTAAATAACCGTAGGCAACCGTGATCATACTGTGATTTGGTACATGAGGCATCTGTGTTATCAAGAGGCACATTCATCATCCTTCATTCCTTTTGAGTGTTCATCCAAAGCAGTCTGAAGGTAAGTTAATGGCAATTTACTACATAGAAATAATACTATATGTTTAGATACATTTCCCTCTACTGAAATAATTTAAGCAAACGTGATTGTGGGGAGATCTTGGCAAGACATTTCTTACTTACCCAAAAAAAAGAAATAAACAGATCCAGTCATAGTTAGAGGACAACCTTCTTTGGACACTAGTGACACTTTCTTAGTATTACCCTTGAATTCCTCTGTAATGATTTCAGACTTACTGAAATAACTGATTATCAGACCAAAGGAGATTATTCATATTCATTAAAGCTCTAGTTGATGTTACTCTATTATCTCAGGCCTATAACATCAAAAGCTCAAGTGCAGTTTAACTCGGGTTTGCCCACTCTCCTTTACAGTGTTGCTTCAGTTCATTTATGCACAGCTCTCTTAGATGAGTTGAGGTCTGAATTTTGACTGGGGCATTGCAGCACTCTGTTTTGTTTTCTTTTTCAGCTGTTCTATTATAGATTTGCTCGTGTACTTCAATCAAGCCTGTTGCATGACCCTATTTGAGGCATGTTTTAAGCATTATTAGTCTACATCATTTATTAGGAATAAAAGCAGGGTTTTATCTACTGCGTTTCATTCTTGCCAGGGAATAGAGGCTCATCTAAATGCTCTTTAAATCCCATGTGTCAGAAACATACCACTTATTATTACTTTGAGCTGCCCAGTAAAGCATGTATCTACTGAGTTTTTGTTTGTTTGTTTTTAACTTCTCTGATGTGTTGTTGTCTATGATTTACTTTAGATATCTAGATTGCAAAACAGGTCGAAATTAGCTAAAAAAATAAAAAAAAATTGTAGACTTTAACTAATGCATGTTCTTTTAAACTTTTTCATAATTTTTCTTTTTGTAGGTATCAATGGACATGATGACAACTTGCCAGCTGAATCAGACATGTGGCCAGCCCAATAGTAGCGTCCCACCTCCCATGAGCAATTCAGGCTTAGCAATATCCTGCTTCACAATGTTATTTGTCACCATCTCCAACCTTGCTGCACTGAGCATCCTGGCTAAGTCTCGTGGTAGATTCTGCCGCCAGTCCAAAGCACCATTCCTACTTCTAACAGTGGCTTTGCTTTTGGCTGACCTCGGAGGTCATGTGATCCTAGGTTCCTTTGCACTGTATCTCCACATGAATCATCAGTATACTATGAAACTATGTGATGTCTTTGGAACAAATATGGTGTTTTTTGGCCTGTGCCCTTTGCTGTTCGGTTGTGCTATGGCAGTGGAGCGCTGTGTGGCCATCACTAAGCCATTTTGTCGTGTTACTATGATTACTGTGGCTCATGTGGTACGGGTGGTGTTATTCCTTTCCGCTCTTGCACTTGTTCTGGCAATTCTGCCTTTACTCAAAGTGGGGACTTATACTATCCAATATCCATGCACCTGGTGTTTTTTGAGAGTTACTTCTCCATGTTTTGCAGTTGACACTTACCTGGCTTTGATTTTCTCATGTCTGGGCCTCACTGCGCTCACCCTTTCCCTGTTCAGCAACACGATGAGTGTTGCCTCATTGGTGCATGCCAGAATGAAGACCCCCAATGGTCAAACAAACCACACAACCCACTTTGGTCGTCGTGAATCATGTACATCATCTTCTTCGCTGTTTTTTTCATTGGATATAGAAGTAATGGTGCAACTGCTAGTCATCACTGTTGTTTCCTGTGTCTGCTGGAGCCCCTTCCTTGTGAGTGCTGCTTTTGTTATTCTGAAGACTTTTTTTCTATAATAATTTAGATATGATTTATTTTAATATTAGATCGGATTAATAAAAAGGGACAAAGAATAAATAACACATAATTGTTTTCTCTCATTTTTTTCCTGCATTTTAGATCCAAATTCTTCTGGTGCAGCTCAAGCAAAGCCCTGGAACATCAGCTCAAAAGCTCATCTATGTGGCTTTACGTATAGCCTCCTGGAATCAGATCTTGGACCCCTGGGTTTACATCTTACTGAGGAAGACAGTGCTCTTCGGAGTTTGTGGACAGAGATGGACCCTGACACGAACATAGTTCCACTATTTGCATTAACTATATTACTCATGACTTTTTGTATTGAGAACATAGATACTTTCTATTTATTAACAAACCAAGAGCTTATTTACACAAGCAGTTAGTGAATAAGAGATGGAGGCGGACTTGAACTACATTTCACAACATTTAGTAGTCTGTACCGGTTCTGTCATCAATAGCAGCTACTTGCAGATTGGCCAATGGGGCGGTGTTAGTTTTGACCAATCAAAATTGAGAAAAGCTTGACAAGCAGTGAGTTTAACAAATAGCGGAAGTGCAGGAGAAGGTTAACGCCCGTGGTGGGTGGTGCTTCTGTGGCAGCGACTCTGTTCAATATGGAGTACAGAAAATAGCCACATTCAGCTGGAGTTTAACTGTTCTCATTCACATTTGTGCCACTTGGGCACAAATTATAATCGCAGGCTCGTAGAGGACACGTGACTGGACTCGCTAACGTATGTTTGACATATTTATAAATGTACTTTGAATAAACTGATAAATACTTGAGCACAACTGCGCTGTAAGAAGTAAAAGTGTGCTAAGACTTGGAAATAAAATAATACGGATTTTCCTGAAAACGCTTCATTGGGGACTTTCTCGACGCTCCCAACAAACGGAAGGACGATTTGAAATACCGCTGGTTTTCTAAATAATAAGGCGGGCCGACCTGCGAGGTTATCGGGTGAAAGGTGACAGTGCTTCTGTCTAATTGACCTGTAGGTAAGTTATGCGTTTAAAGTTTGTGAGTAAACAGTGGTTCGTTAAATGCCGCTTGTTCACACACGATGCTTAAATTTGAGCTGAATTCCCTTTAAAAACGTAATCTCCGTTCAGTGGTGTAATGCGTTAGTTACAACCTGCAAAAGTTTCTCGTGTGTACTGACCCGCAACTGTAGTACTTTAAGCCTCCAGAGTGGAACTCATGTAGGCTTTAGCTCAAGCCAGTTCTTTCTGCTAAAAGCTTCGTCTTTCTCCTTTTATACTGTGACAAGAATGCACAATGCAGCGAGTGTTTCAGCCTCTCTGGGGTCCATGGGACTGTGTCGTCTCTTCGGGGTGTCCTGGCCCTGGAGTCTGGCAGCAGGTCTTGGGGTATATCTTGGCACAAGCAGCTGGAAATACTTCTACATTGCAGCACGCACGGCCAAGAGAGACCTCAAGTAAGTTAACGACGTCTACATAAAGTTGTGACTCATTTGCGTGTATATCTGTATACATCTTTGTGCTTAGACCTGATTTTTCTTGTCACACTCCCCAGTGGCTTGTATGTGCTCATGAGAGTGAAGCTGGCCTTATGGCGCTACATGCACCATGGAAGCAATATTCCTTCCATTTTCGCCCAGACAGTGAAACTCCACCCAAATAAACCAGCTCTCATCTATGAGGCCACAGGAGAAATGTGGACCTTCACCCAGCTGGATGAGATATCAAATGGAGTCGCCCATTGGGCGAGAGGTCAAGGATGGGTCTCCGGAGATGTTGTGGCCCTTTTCATGGAAAGTAGGCCATTGCATGTGGCACTTTGGCTGGGTTTGGCCAAAGTTGGAGTGGAAGCTGCACTCATCAACTTTAGTCTCCGCTGTGATCCTCTTCTGCACTGTATCGGGGTATCAGAGTCACGGGCGATTGTGTTCGGAGCTGAGCTGGCGGATGGTAAGAATGTAGAGATGATGTAGAGAGAGCTGATCATAAAATGAGTATTTGTTTTAATTTTGTATAAATGGAGCCGTTTGTATAAATCTGTGATGCAGTATTATACTGTCAGCAAGGGACAGGTGTTATGTTTGCACCCACAATACAACTAGTCTCAGCTACAGATTCCTTGCTTGATATCTGTAACGGTATAGTAGATGGTCATCTTAGGTGGTGTCTCGTTGTTAACACTCAGTCTGTTTTAGAATATGTTATTAATCCCTAAGGAAATGATGTAGTTACAGTTGCTCCAAGACAATAAGAACAGTAACAGACTGAACTAATCTAAAATATTACAAAGTTACAAAGTATAAGAAATAGCTCAATTATAAATATCCAGAATATTACAGAGATTAAATATATGAGTAACACTGTACTCTGTAATCTTTAAACTGTAAAACTTTATTTTGTTATTGTCACTGTAGAGCATATGCAAATATTAAGGCTTTAACTATTGCACTGTGTACTGTGCATTAGATGGAGAAATTGTACAGAAAGAGATCCTCAGGCAGGAATGATTTCCTGTGTGGTTCAGTGGTGCATTTAGGTAATCTCAGTCTCTCACTGAACGTGCTACTGTGACTGGGCACTCATGGAGTGGGTGGAGGGTATTGTCCAGAATTGTCCTTATCTTGGACAACATCCGCCTCTCTGACAACAAGGGAGTCCAGCTCCGTCACAACAATATTGGCAGTATCAGTTTATTGACTCTGTCGGCATCTGCGACCCTCAGCCTGCTGTAAAACAAACAATAATAATGACAGGGCCTATGAAATGTAAGATGAGTTGCACCTGTTGTTGGCATCCATGCTGCCAATGAAATTCTTGGTGAAGCTAGTTAACGCAGTTTAAATACAACTTCTAAAAGTCAGAGACAATACCTGATATGAATTTGGCTGATCTCTCCTTCAATTGTGCGACCTTGAGCTCTTTAGTTAGTTTCCAGTGCTATTTTTAAATCACTTAGTGGAAGTCCTATTCTAATCATTTACAAGTGGCATGGATTCCATGAATCTCAAACTTGCACGGAGAGAAAACATTGGCAACTGTGTCAAACTGGCAAATGCCAGGAATTTTTGGCTGTACCAACACAAGTATGTGATTAGATTCCCTGCAACTTTCCCCTTTACCAAAGTGGAATTCAAGTTAAAGGGCGAATGAGAATCCCAGAAGACCAAGTGATCAAAACGTAAGAGTTCAGAAGTGATCTTAAAAATAGCAGATTGTGGTGAATTACTACCCAAGGTTATGACCTTGAAGAGCACTAGCTAAATTAAAATCATCTAATGGTGTTGGACAACTTTATGATCACACACATACAATCTAGAGAGTCTGAACTGAGCTGACTTATATCCCCTTTTTATATCTTACTATGTTTCTTCCTGAACGCCAGCTATGTTGGACATCAGTTCCACCATGAGCCAGTCCATGGTACGATTTTGTACAGGAGACCTCAGTGCAGAACAGTTAGCCTGTCTTGCTGCTCAACCTCTGGACCCTATTTTAGCTGCTGCACCTAAACATCCCCCTTCGCCTTGTGTTCCCCCTAAAGGAATGAATGGTGAGTATCTCACTAAACTCAGCTCTCACTCTGACACTTAATCTGTATGTTAATGAGTGACTCCATTTCAGATACCTTCTTAAACAATTTCCTTACAGTGTGTGTAGCTGTTAACCTTTGGTTCTTGGTTGATTCTGAATTCCCAAAGTGTATGCGCCATAGTAATTCATTTTTCTCACACTGCTATTTCAAAACTAAAATTACTTTCCAGTAATTATATATCTCAAGCCTGATAAGGAAAATACTTGGCTAATAATGCGAGTCATTTTATGACAGTTGCATTTATTTTTCATAGACAGCTGTCTGGAGCAGATAAGAGTGACTTGCTTGCACTGTCCAGCCTGGATATTAATAAACCATTTCCTAGCCCAGTGGTAAATCTGTCTTAGATGAATTAACATATAAGCCATTATTAAAGGTGTGAGCTTCAGATATACCTTACATAACAGTTCAGATGAAATTGCCAAGGGAAATATTAAGCAAAGTAGAAACGATGTCTGCATTTTCAGTTCTTTAATGCATTGGTTTCCAAAATGCCATCCCAGCAGTAGATAAAACACTATGTAAATTTGCAGGGTGCATTTTTATGTTATATTCTATTATTTTGCAGACCGCCTATTTTATATTTACACCTCGGGGACCACGGGATTGCCTAAGGCTGCCATTGTGGTTCACAGTCGGTATGTTTTCTTGAAGAATCACTACCAAAAGAAAAAAAA